TTTCCCATGTTGTTTCCCGGCGAAGCCTGAAAACAGTAGCATCGAAAACAAACAAGCCCCCTTAGAGTCTTCGACTTCCGGAGTTTGCCGTATATGGCCTAGCTCAGGAGCCCTACCCCAAAGACAACTCAGGGTTGGGGAGCGAGCTTTCAGGCAAAAGGCTACATTTAGTGCCCTTGGAGCCGCATCATTTTGCTTTCTGATGCTGACAAAGCCAGGAACTTGCTCGCCTGGTTATTCCCAGAGACACGGTCAGAGCACTTGGTTGGTAGAACCGAGCCCGGTCTCAACAATCGGAATGGCCCGGAAGGGGAACCGTACCAACAATAGGGATGGTCTGGTTGTTTTAGACAACCAATGCAAGGATTCCTTCAGATGGAAGAAGTTGGTGTCTCCACTTCCCGGCCGAATTGCCCTTGAAGAGCAGCCCAAACCAAACCAGAGGGACCCCAGACCCCCGGACCTCCCAAGACTCCCGTTGCGGCTTGATTTGGTTCTAATTCCCATGGCTTATGAACCCCCAACCGTTTTGGGGGTGCAGTTGGTCGAGAGTTTGTTTCTGGAAGCTCCGCCCTGGAAGGCTCGCAGGCTCCAAGTTTTGCGAAGCGCGCGCCAGTGTACTTTGCCAGGGTTGTCCCGGAAGCGAAATTCCTTTGAGAACTTTCGGAATCGCATAGCTGCAATTCGACAAAGAAAGCCGCTTTCTCCATTGATACACTGGTTTAAGTCGTTTCCCCACAAGTGTTGAGGTTCAACAGTTATGACAACATACTTGAATGTTTGACCTTTATTTTTTACTCCCACCATATACCAACAACCACAAACATCTCCACCTTCGTCAACTCTTCAGCGTTCCAGCCAACAAGGGACAGCCCTGTAGTTTACAAAGGGTCGGCGCGGTCTGCTCACCGAGCCCGCGAGCGTCTCATGGCAACGGAGCTGCGTTTTCAACAGGTTGGCGGCCGTTGCAAGTTGGTCTTGGAGGACAGATGCTGGTTTAGACTTTGGTGAGTGTCCAGTTTTGACTGGGTCCTTCTTTGAGTTGGTACCCATTTCGGGGTGGTCTGACTGGGACAGAGGACAACCACCATTTTGGGGGGTCCGCCTGTCATTGACGGCCAGACTGAACATGGTCTAGAATCTGAAGAAGCCAAGTTCAAGACCTGTTTAACCGGTTCGCAATTGGTCTCGTGGCTGTATTTTCGTTTCCCTCAGGTTGGCGTTTGGTTTAGTTCCCTTTCTTCGTGGTGCCTGTTGGTTTCACTTTTGACTTCTTTGCCTTGTGTTCCTTTGGGTTTTACTTGTCTTCCTTCCGGGTTTCCTGTGGCCACCTGCTTCTGTTTTTCTTTTGGTATCCACTTGCTTCTCCTTTTCTATTCCTTGACTCCTCTCTGCTTTTACCCTTGGCTTGTCTTTTGGCTTCCCTTGCGGGCTTCCTGTGTTTCCTCTACGCTTGCTTTCCTTTGGGTTCCTTCTGGGTTCCTTCTCCTTTTTTGTATTTGTTCCTCTTGGTTTTACTTTTATCATCCACGCAGTTGTGCAGTTGGAATTTGGAATTGTACTTTTCTTGTAGGTTCACTTGTGCTCACTTTTTGGTGGGCTTCTATTGCATGTTTTTTTGTGGTTTCCTCTTGAGTTTAGTATTGGTTTCGTCTTGGTTTGGTTTCACTTTTCATGTCTTCTTGCGATCCTCTAGATGCCTTTCAGAGTTACTTTTGGCATCTTGTTCTTCGTTTGGTAACCTCTTGGTTTTGCCTTTGGCATCCCTTTGTGTCCTTTCAGTCTTATTTGTTTAAGGTTACGTTTCGGTTTTGTTTGAAGACGCTTATAATAAAACCGGCTGGCTTTACATATGGTCTGCTTTCCCGTAGCTTTGGTTTCCTTCAGCTTTGGTCGCCGTTGTCCAGTCCGCGTCGTTTCGGCGGCGGCGGGCGGAGGATGCGGTGAGTCTCTCTCCCCCGTATCCTCCTTTTGGCTTTCCGATTTTGGCATCCACTTGGTGTTGCTTTTATGGCCCTCTTTCAATCTCCCTTTGCTCATGCCTATGGTTTCATTCTGCATTGCGTTTGGCCTTGCATTTTGCGGCGTTCCTTTTGGTGATGGCATTCCCCATTTTCTCATGGCCTTCACGGACTCCCCAGACAATTTTCTAACCACGCACTAGCAAACAGCTTAACCTCGTGATTCCCTGGCCACCAACAACACCGGGTTAGAAAAACCACCGCTGTTCAGGTGTTTCATCGTGTAAGTTGTCAAAAATACGGGCCCCGTTTGGTAGCCTCTTGAAACATGCAGAAAACCCGCTTGGGCACCAGGGTCCCATTTTTTGAACAAAACAGGTCACGCCGAGCGCGCGCATTCTTGTGTTTACATGGTCAGTGTTTGGGAGAACTGAAACAACTTTTTCTTTTTTTTAAGGACAACAAAGCAACAAAAGTCAAGCAAACCAAGAAGCAACCAAGACTATGCCCCCAAGTCAGGACAAAGGACGTAGTCTTCTTTTTAGTTTTCTCGAGTTTGTTTTTGCATTTGTGGGAAGCGTGTGAGAATCCTCGCGAAGACAAAACCACTACAAACGACAAAAAAGCCAAGACTATGACAGCTGCACTGACTTGGGGGCATAGCCCTTCTGTTTTGGGTTTTCTTGCAGTTTCTCGCACTTTCCCAAACAATGCAAACACCTCGAGAAAACCAGGCAAACAGAAAAACAAGACTATGTCAGCTGTCCTGATTTTGGGGCGCAGTCTCATTTTGTTTGGCGTTCTCGAGTGTTTTTTTTGTTTTTGGCATTTTTTGCATTTTCCATTTTTTGGCCTGTGTGCGAGAGCTCCTGTGTTCAAGTGCACTTGTGGGTTCACATCCAAGCTCTAGTGCAGAAGCTAGAGATGGTTTCCTTCAATTGGATCATTCCCTTGTTGGTTTCTTTTTTAGGTAGAATTCATAAGGACAGTATTCAGAGGTCCTACAGTTGTTGTCTAGCATTTGTCTAGATGTGTGTTGATGTGTAAAGACAGTTCTGTTGGAAGGGACATCCGCTGTAACATGTAAATTGAAACAGACCAATTATTGATTAGGTTCCAACTTTGAATAGACACGCAGATTATTAGATTCTATTTGACTTCAGTCAGACATTCAGTATACTTTGATACATATATCAAGTAGCATTCATGAGGACATAATTCAGTCGTCCCAAAACGATGTTTTGTACTAGCCCAAACACTATCTTGGTCAGAAAACACTGTAAAACAGAGTTCAGCTAGAAGTTGAATTGGATCTAGATGGGACTCAATAAGGAAATACTTGTTTCGAATCCCACTAGAAAGTAAATCCTAAATTAACTTTACAATCTAGCTAGAGTTTAGACATAATTTGACAAGGGCATAATCCACACAATTTCCGTTTTAGATTGGTTTAAAATAATACATAAGTATTCTGGGGGAGGTAGGGATTTCCCCTTAGAGTCTTAAAGCGGCAACGTAGCCGACGGAACCGGTCTCACAGGGCCCTATTTTCCCACAAGCCGCTTGTCACGGTGGATTGGCGGTTTGGGAACTTTGAATCCCATGCTCTGATACCAAAGGTGTGTACCCCCCAATGTCCAAATTGTGCAAACCAAACCAACTGTGTGTCAGGTGTTGTTTGGATTTCAGGTCAAAACAAAAGCGAAACACACGCTTGTGTTTCGCATGCACCGCTTGTTGCAGGAGGACTTCCGAAGTTGCTTGAAGTCAGACATCGAGGAGAGAGAAGGAAAGGCGCGTCTCAGGGAGTGGCGAGAATACCAGCGGAGCCTTCGAGAGAAGGCGAGTGTGGCTGCATTCTTGAAGAAGCACCACTTTCCTGAGGACCAACCGCATTGGTTTGGATGGATCCATGCCAAGTGTGGAATATGTGTCCGGACATTGTCAAGTTTGGTTTCACTTTGGTATCGCATTTGGGTGAAAGTAGATGCCAGAAGTTCCTGAAACTATTCGGGTTATGCAATTTGCCCGACAAAAAGGTGTATTTTTCAATATTTGGCAGCCAAGTTTCAATCGGAACCCCTCAAAACGGTCGCTTCCGTTTTTCCACTAGGACGACGTGAATGCGCCGAGGGTGTCCTGCTACGGGCTGAGGCAGGGTTGGAAGCATGTGTTTGAGTTGCCGGTTCTGAAGACATGTTTTTTGGTGGCACTAAAGGACAAAGAGTTCGGAGTTTAAACCGTGCGGTTGGAACCCAATGTCCGGACCCGCGAGGGGTTTTAATAGACCTTCATACAATGACGGGTTCACTAGTTGTCATCTCCACCCAGGACGAAGAATGGCCGTTTACGGAAGATCGCAAAGGTTTCCGTGCGCGCCCAAAACCAGCTCCCTCAGAAGGGGCGCCCAAGAAGAGTTTCACATGTTTAGACCATTGCTAGTGGGGTTGTAAAAGCCATATGGTTGAAGATGGGTTCTTCAACCGGTTGGGTGTCTTTTTTTCAGCCGCTCAATTTGTTTGCCTTGTGTTCGAGGCATACGTACCCCCTGACGCTGGCCGCGGAGAGCAACGACGCAGCCATGGTGATACTCTTGATACGCCTGGGCGCTGATCCCTTGCGCAAGGCAAGGCGTTGCTTTTACCTCGCGATGCGGTCACGAGTTTTTTTTTTCAACTGGGTTCTCTATATATGACCAAGCCTTTGACGGTGA